ATATAATAAGTGTGTGATGTCATTTCTTCAGCGAAGTTTATAACTTTTTGTATCATTACCAGTGGCAGATCTAGACAAAGCAAAATTTTTGAAATGTTCAAATTTGACGAAGAGGGGGCCAAGAAATGAGCCAAAGGTTCGCTGGTGTGGCCAAAATTAAGCTGATGCCCTTTTTTGCAGTTATTTCCGGTCAATTTTCCACATAAAAACGGTTATTTCCTATCTAAAAACTAAGTTTTACTGACTTAATAAAAACACTGCTCAGAGCGTGGAATATAGACCCTGTCCTCCCCATCAAAACTTTACGACGTGCTTTTTTGCGAGCAAGCTCATCAATAATTCCTTGCAAATTTTTTTCTTTAATGAACAGGGTGCAAAAAATTTAGCATTTTTCTGATATTATGGATCGCATGTCATTTTTAATGCGGTTAAGCAAAAATAAGGAACGTTCGGCCGAACAGTTTATTATGGAGTTACAAGTGTACAACTGAAGCACAACGTCTACATATGGACATGACATACGCACAGTTGGAGTATTTGGAACTGAATTTTGATTGAGATGGCCAAATAATATCAAGTAAAACAAACAACAATTCAGAATTTAAGTTGTCATCTAGACCATTCGAAAATAAAGATTTTATTTAATACAGTGCAAACTCTAACTCAGCAAACGACAAGATTTTCAATTGCATAAAGCTTTGAGTTTTTTTTATTAATTTTTACTTATGCGTTTCGTTTCTTAGTCATTTCAAAAATCAAATTTTCTACAACTACAAAAAAATGTATTAAGGCGTAAGTTTTCCCTGATTATAAATTCCATCTTGTTGGCCGTAATGCCGTTTTTATTTTCTTTCGGTTGCAATTATATAATTACACTATAAAATATTATTGATATATACATTCAAAATTTATATACATACTTATTTCATAAATGTGGCTGAATTCCATTGTCTTCAAATAAGTAATAACATCATCTAAATCGACATGCGATTTATGGAAATTGCACACAGAAAGCTTTGCAAATTTTAAATCATTATATCTGTCAAAACGGTCAATTTTCTTCTTCAACAAATGTTTAACATGTTCTTCTTCAGAAATATTAATGTGTATTATCCAATCATCAATTTTGCATGTATTTATCTTCGCCAATAAATCATTAGCAAATTCTACAAGTGCTTCATCTGAAAACGAATCGTTACTTAGTTAAACTTAATATCGAACAAAAACTAGGACTTTAATGTCAATTTAGACTAAAATTAATACCCTATAAAAACTTTAAAGTTTGTGAAAAGAGTTAGACGTTTTAAAATATTAATCCTCACTATTTGTATAATGAAATAAATTTAAATTTAAAAAAATTCTTATTTGGCTGAAACAAATTTTCAAGGATTATTGTTTAGAAAAAATGATATCTCTTAATTTGCTTTTTTTAATTTCATTTTTGTGTCTCTGCCACCTTTTAGACTGTGCAAATTTTATAAAGGTCATCTTCGCAAGCGCTTGGTCTAATTTGGTATAATTCTAAAGTGGAAAGCGTCCTATTTTTTTAGCTCATTTATTACTTATAAACAAATTCTTTTACAGGTAGAATGAGTAAACACTTTTAACGTGAAAGACATGAATTTTATGGCTTAAATCATTATATGTGAATTCCATTTTAACTAAACTTGTACATTATCACAATGTTTTAATCAGTTTTAATTTCTTTGTTACATTTTTTAGTTTAAATTCAATCTTAAATTAGATGATGAACTAGAAGCCAACAATTGTTTTCAATTATAATTTGTTCACAGCATCGCATGTTGCTGAGAATAAATTTTGAAAAGTATTATTCAAACAAAAAGTATAATCAAATCAATCAGAACTAACAATACCATGGTACAGAAATTTTGCATGTTGGACAGTTTGTGGATAGCCATCTAGAACGAAGCCGTCCAAATTTTGTGACTGAGATTGCATAAAAAAATAAATTAAAACGTCAATGAATGAAAGATCAAGAGATTTGATCTTATCTCTGCTTAAATTGTTCATAATATCTTTTAACTCTTCATAAAATCTTTTAACGAAAGCATTTCCTTGCTGTGCGGTGTCTTCCCGCTCCTCATAACGATTCATAACAAAGTGTGCCACCTTTTCAAATGTAAATAATAATAGATATATAACAAACAAGTCCAGCTAAAAAAATATTTTCAACAATAAGTGACGTTTTTAATTTAGCAAGATAAAATTTGATTGTATGAGGTGCCGGAGCAACATTAAATATAGGTATGTGCTTTGCATTATATTATCATTCATCATTATCGAATTCAGACTAATCCTTTTTTAATCCAAAAGAAAACAATTTTTTCCCTGATTCGGTGAGCAAATAAGATCTAAGGATCTTGTGTTGGCCACCGTTGACAATAGAAACAAAAACAAAAATTTTAAATTAAATTGTTCAATGTTAATGTTCAGAAGGATAAAAATAAAATGTTTAGTACCGATATACAGAAAGTTATAAACAAAAAGCTCGTCAAGATGATCAATTGTTTTATTTTAAGTTATATTAACAAAACTAAAGAGATCTATTCATTAGAAAATTTTTAACGCTTTTTCAAATTAAAAAAAATGTTTAATTTTTCGATGTTGTTGTGTCTCACACTTTAAAACCAATAGGAACCAACTTCAGTTTTGTCCGTTCCACATGGAAGGTGGCTATTTGTCTTGTCTGGTGATTTTTGCAAAAAATCGTCAAAAAATTTTGGCAACATGTGAAAAAATTTGTACACAAAAACGGCTGAACAGAAAATATTTATTTGCCAGATTGGCAGGATGTTTAACTTACTGTTCAGTAGGCTCGAATGGTCTAAGGTTTAAGATGATTCCGATAAGCCTAGAAACTTTATTGAATCTGATTTCTGTACAGAAATGTTATTAAAACTTAATCCTAAACCTCTTATTAAATTTGTCAGTATGTTTGGACTGATAGTTTTTGTATGTGGCTCCTTGCGTCGCTTCTTTGGCCTTTTGCTTAATTTATAGCAAGTTTTGGAAGTATTTATTGGTAGCTTACTATTTATAAACCAACTCTGATATTTTAATAATTTACTGTTACTATTTTCTGCAATATAATGCACGATGAGTAGAATAAATTGGTGTCATCAGCATAAAATATGCAATTTAGCTTTGTCGAAATGTTAGGCAAATCATTTACGAAGAGGGAAAACTAAATGGACCTTTGCGGAACTCCAAATTTTACAGGAAGGGTTGTTGACTCTTGATTGTTCTAATAAATAAATTGAGATCTATTAGTTAAATAACTTCTAAGCCAAGAAAAGATCCTATCTCAAAAACAGTAACGTTCGAGTTTTCATGATAACAAATTGTGACTTACTAAGATCTAAAAATAAACCCAGTGTAAGTTGTTTCCTGTTCCAATTTTTTTTATAATTCTTTGATTGAGTTCCAAAATTCCAGTTTAGTTGAATGTGCATTTCTAAAACCATACTGACAGTTGGATAAAATGTTGAAATTGTTAAAAGAGTTTGTTCTTATACATACTTAAGTTCATTCTTAAGATCTTCAAAGACAATTCTATCGGACTGTATATATTTCCTTGCGTCACTTCTTTGGTCTTTTTTTCATGGCAATTTTAAAACTATCTTCTGTGTACTATTAAGTTGTTATCTGTTGGGGATTTTGATTATTTTTTTGTATAACTTACTTTTGATTTTTGACAGATTTATAAATAATTTCATTAGTTTAAAAAAAATTAATTCAGTTAGATTTCAGGTTTCAAAGGCTTAAATGTATCGATAACTCTATTGAGAACGTTTAAAAACAAATTTAGATAGTTCTAAGAAAATTTTTTAAAATGTAACAGTAACTAATTTTTTTCTGAAGCACACAAGTTGCCTTTTGTCAATAAATTAAAAAAGAAAAAATCGGAATCTCATGATATTCTAATATGTTTTTTGTAAAAATATTTATAAATGAAATAGTCTTTCAGTTTACCCATATTTTCAACTTGCTTTTTCAAACAGCGATTTTCCAAGTAGTTTTGAAATTGTCAAGATACTACCTTTCATAAAAAAAAGGCCAAAGAAACGATGCAAGGAACTACAGATCGTTGAAGATTAGCTCCCAATGTTTTTTGCTAATTCGTTTTTAATTTTTGAAACAGATGACGTCGTGAACTACACACTGATGCTTTCTTTGTGTTGACACTTTGCATGATGTTAGTTATTGTAAATATTGGGAATGGATCGGACGGATCATGCTTGACAACGCCGCTGACATGATTGTCGTAGACGTTGATGAAAATATTATCAATCAAACTTACAGAGATTGTGTTTGTCTGTCTTGTTGGTACTGTTATAAGTGGAAAATTGAAATTTTGAAAAATTTTTCAAAGTTTATTTTAGCAGTTTTGTTAAAATTTAAATCGATATTAAAATCGTTCAAAATCGTTTAGTAAAGGTTCATCAAAATTCGAAAACAATCCTTAAAATTATTGTAAAAAAAAACTGTGCGTATCTGAATTTATGAGGTCTATACAAAAAATGCAATTTTTATCTTATTATTGCAGCCATTAAAATAGCTGATAATTTGACAGATAAAATTTTTGAAAAGTTTAAATTAGAATTGTAATATTCAATCTGGTATTCCGGACCAATTTTTGAAAATAAGTTCACCCCACCGCCAACTTTATCATTTCTATTTTAAAAATGCAAAGTTATAATCATCTAACACAATAAACTAGAATGTTTGCTTTTTCAGCCATGTCTCCCTGACCGAAATCGCAGACAATTTGTATGGAAACGTTTTTAAGAACAACATGAACTCATCTAATTCGTTAATATTTTCAAAATCATAATAACAGCATTCGTTTAGTGAATTGTTATTTAAACAATTTTTGAAATTCAACATGTTAGCCGTCGTTATTTGCATTTGCTTTTTCAACAAGATTTTACTTTGGATTGATACTCGTGCCACAACTCCTGATCCATGATAGCAGACATTTAATCTTGAGGGACACAGAGCCTGAAACTAGAGTTTCCATCCATCGGATTTGTTTGGTTGGTTGTTAAATTTGTCTTTTTCGTTATCGGTAAAACTCTAATAAGATTGATGCCAAAATTGGTAAGGTGATTAACGATTACGTCAGTTTTAGTGAAGTTCAAGTTGCCTGAATAAATTATAAAATTTTTTACAGGTGGTTGAACAGCTGTGAATCCAATGTCCGACTTTGATTTGCCGATAAACTTTTTGAAAATGTTGAATTATTGAAGTCTGGTCGTATTTGGGGTGGTTTGTTTTTTTTACCATAAAAACAGCTTTGTAACCGGTATCCCTGTCGTCAGTGTTTATGTTGAATTGCTTGCTATTTAAAGCTGAATTTTCACTTTTCTAACTGAGATAATTTTTTCTCTTGATTTATAAACCTGTTTGTATGACAAGCCTTGTTAACTAGAAACGTGTTTGCTTCTGAAACATTAGCCTGATGCACCTGATTCGGTTATTTGTAAACAAAAATTTTTCGTTTTATCAATATTTTCCTGTATTAAACTTTTTATTTCGCAAATTTGCTTTCGTTCTGAGAATTTTCACTCTGTGTTCTTTTCATATTAAAAACACTAAAAATAGTCATTAATTGACTTAAATTTTTACTTTTTATTTTTTCTAACATTTCAAATATATCATTTAATTTTTCAACTTTAGAATTACCTTTTGTTGAAAATTTTGTTTTGCTCTTTTTCACCCGTTTCTATTCGCTTTGAAGAAGTTTTTGAGCAAAAACAATTTCGGAAGCAATGTAGAAATCAATCACAACATTTTTAATTTTGCTAAAGTTTTTTTTTTCGACATTTTTGTTCAAAAACCAAAATAACTCGCATATCCAAATTTTTCGACCATCCACCATGTCACAACTGTACAACACTCTCCGTCCAGATATTTCCATTCTTCATCACCACAAAATTAAGGTACTTAAATTGACAGTTTGCCACGAAACTAGTTTTACTCGCAGTTATTTTAAATAGTTGGAAGGTTTTTAACCAATTATAATTTTTATCAAGAAAGTTTCGTTTTCGTAGGCTAAGAACCTTTGACGTTTTACATTTCTAAATGTAATAAGATCACCAATGTTTCAATCGTTTCTTATTATTGCAATCAATGTTATTTCCAGAGTTAATTATTTATGGTTTTCAAACTTTGTCATTAACGCCAAAAATAGAAATCCGCATGTATTATTTGTACTCTTCTTTGAACATCGCACAGCAAGTTGATCTCGGCAGGCCTGCAAGTAAACTGATGTGCATGCAGCAACGCTTGCACAATAAACCCAGCCTAGCATTAGACTTACTGCAATTTTTTTTACACTCAAAGGACAATAAATTTTAAAATTTGATCAAACTCACTTGTAATAAATCTAGACAAGTTTTCTTTGTAATTACTTTTCAAAATAAACAAAACCGTACTGGTAAACTTAAAAAATCTTTCTTTTTTCCCTGCATTTTGGGTAAATATTGAAAGCTCGATTGAAAGCTTATTAGCTTCTGGAATCAAAACTTTTAGGCTCTCCATCTTGTCCTTTACTCTGAAACCCTTCAGCAGGCGTTCCGAAAGGCAACAAGATACGAAAAGTAAAAGTTGCATTAAACAAAACACCAAATTTGCTTGTTACCCGACCTTTTGAAACAAAAAAAAATGAAACGCTTCAAAGAGTTTCATGCATGATGATACACTGATGAGCATATTTTTATTATTTTATGTTTTAACTTGCCTCCGACTTAATGAGAGTAAGCTAGCAAAAAAAATATGCAAAGTCTTTGAGGAACCCTTAAAAAAATTGTTGTCAGTTGTCAGTTATTATTAATTAGATTTATTATTAATTACTTTCATTACATTAAAATGATTCATCTAATAACAATGTTTTAATTAAAAAAAAACATAAGTTAATTTTGCAAAACCTCTGAAAAGCAAGATGTATCTGTCATGAGTTTATTCATGTCAAGGTGATACAGATTCAAATTTTTTGCTAGATGCTGAGAAAATTTTGATTTGCCACACATAGGAGGGCCGATTATTGAAATTCTAAAAATCTGACAAATAAAAAATTATTCTTTTTATAACATAAACTTTTAAAATTAAAAATAGTTGTTACGATTAAGTAACGTCTTATTGTCAAATTTTTAGTTTAAAATTTTTTTTGGACATTTATTATTTATAAAAATTCAAACATCACAGAATAAAAGGTTTCAAAATTTTTTTCTAACCTTTTTGAAAGGATTTTGACTAAATGGCGTTTCTGAATTTTCTAAAAAACGTATGAAACCTTTATCAGCCTTCCATGAAATTTTCAACGTTTTGTCAATGAGAGACATAAATTTTAAATCGAGCGTCATTAGGCTTATTTGATTTTGCTGAAATATTAGCATAAAAATTATATTTTTTTTATTTATTTATGTAATTGAATAATTGTTTCCTACGGCGTAAAATTTACATTCATTTAAAATGATTGTAGTTATATAGTCGACTGAGTAAAAGAATTGTTTGAAAAATATAAACATATATGCATATTGCATATAGCATTATTTATATAAATACCCTCGCAGTCGGTAAGCTGCGACTGTGTTGAACCTAAATACGCTGGAGAAAGCAATGACAGATAACTCCAACATTATGCCAAGAAAATCATATAGAGTTACAACAAAATAGAAAAAGATTAGACACCCAGGTCTGAAGGTGTCTAACAAACGACTAAAAAAGAGCAGATGATGCATCTGCAATCCTTTGCTAACATTAATAAATTTACTTCAAATCCACGAGAGCGTTCTTGTTTCAGAGAGATGTCAAACATTGTAGAGTTTCAATAATCAAATTTGGACAGTATCAAACATCATAAAAAATTACTAGCCGAGTCTGTAGATAAAAATTGTCTAACGTAACGTATTTCTTTAATATGATAGTTGCATGCCTTAGCAATAGATATGATATTACTGAAAAAAAGTGAGTTTATTATCAAGAAACGCAACGAGCGTCTTGAGTGCGTTGTTTAAAGGATTATCGGTATTACCGAGTTAAATTGAAGTCAGACCTTGTTATTATTAATCGAATAAAACGAGCCAGGTGTAATGATTTTTGAGATAGATGATATATTAAATATGGGTCTATAATTAAATAAATCAGAGTCATTAAAGTTTTGTTTTTTAAAAGCGGAAGGACCTGTGCAATCTTAAAGTTATCAGGAAACTGATCACAGAAAGAAAAATTATTGAGAATGGAAATGGCAGTTGATAAGGTGTCGATACAATTGGCTAAAACGTAATGAAGAAAAGATTCTAATGGCGATGTTTAGTTACATGATGATTTGATGACGGCTTTAATGTGTCACTTTATCGAAAGACCCAAAATTAAAATGAGCATAGACAGATGTATTATTCTGAACTATTGATAGAACTGCATTACCTGACGAATTTAATTGTTGTCGAGTGTTTGTATAAATATTATCAAATTTGTTAATAAAGTGGTCATTGAAAGAGTTAACTAATAATAATGTTTTAGAATCATTAAAAAAAGTAGCAGTACTGTTCCTATAAAGAAGTTTATGAGGTCGTGCCAAGTGGAGCCGGGTTCTTTGTTGTTGAAAATTAAGTTAGGACAAGAGGCATAAATAGATCTGTGGTCTGAAAATGATGTAGCATATAATTTAATTGTTGAAATGATATTTAACTGTTGCTTAAATGTTAATAAATTAAAAAAAATCAAGGATGTTGCCATTGTCATGAGTAAGCAAAGTATTATGTTAAAAAAAGTTCTGCTCATCGATGACCTCTTGCAACTTGGCGTTGATGGCTGCCCGAGATGCAGGAGTGTTGAAATTGCCACAAATGACAAATAAATTATTTTTTAAAGTAATTTGATCTAATAAGTTAGGGAAAACGTGAGTACGTTTGTATTTAAATACGTGAGAAGTTGACTAGCAATTAAAAGTTTAGTAGTTTTTGATAAGGAAGTAAGGCTAGAAATTGGCCTAAAACAACTTTTAATTTTTGATGTATTTTAGTTATTTAAATTATTGAAAAAGTAGCAAATATATTATTAATATATTTATTTAATTACTAACAGAAAGGGGTATTTAATGAATAAGCATGCACGTTTAATTGTTCATTTGAGCTAATGGCTGACTTCTGTTACTTGTGTTACTGAAGTGACTGTGTAAGCGGGTAGCCAAAACACATGAGTTGTGACAGATCGGACAATGTAGACCAATGTCCAGTGTACCAGGTCGGTGCAGATAGCATTTTATTTGCTGAAACGACTTCTCACTAAAGCATCGATTCATTTGTTGAAAATTTTGCATATTCCGTGTATGCAAATGTTTTTTCATTTGTAACGATTTTGGATAGCGCTCAGTGGACAGAAAAGACCTTCCCCTACAATAGTTTCAGAGTTGGTGTTTCAGCACTTGAAAAATTTATCACATCTTAGCAGATAGTGTACAAAAATTATATTTTCCACTGGTGTCCAAGTTACATACCCACATATTATTGTAGAAAAACCAACAGCTTTGTAAACAATAATTTTTAGACATGATAAGACCATAATTGATCAAAAAACATGGTGCCTTAGGTTTGGTGACGTTTTACTGATTTTGCTGTTGAAATTTGACGTGACAAAACCAAACTAAGACCATAGGTTAAAGAGCCTTATTATCAAATTCGATAAATATTTACGTTGTGAAAATGTTGTAACTGCGCAATTTTGACTATAGCTGTGAGGAAATAAAATAATCTCAAATTTTGTAGTTTTTGTGGCATAAGATGTTTAGAATTATGGCTGTTTCCATAAATTTGTTAATTTGTAGACCAAACGAGTCTTAATTAATAATGATGTGTTATTGAGTTTTTGACAGTTTTTGCACAATTTTTGATAAAGGAAACTTTTGTGGCTTTCTCGGAAGTGTTATATTCAAACGGTAAATTATATTTGAAAAGTTTTTTAGTGGAGTAAGGAAATATATTCTTTTGTAGATTTTTATCTGGTGGCAAACTTTAAAAGCACAATCATCATATAGTTGTTCTGTCAGATTTCACACTTTTTTTTGGTATTTTTATAAGATCAATAAATCGTGTTGTTAAATAATATCAAAGTTCAACAAATTAGTTAGTCAGCTTAAAATCGAAATTTAAAAAAATAAGTTGAAGAATAACCTCAAGATTTTTGTTTAAAAACGAATCTTCGATTGATGAAAACTTAATTTTACTTTTGATTATCTTTCCATGAAGTGCCTGATATAAGATAATATGTCCAATACTTTTATATAATATTTGTAAACCACATCAATTTGTTTGTAATATTTAGTAGCGCGTATGAAAAAATAATTAAAAATTGTTTTTACTTAAACGATGTACCATATTTTCTTTTAACGTATTATTTATTAGGTTAATTCAAATTCAATAAAGTTTTTTATTTTTTTTTATTTAGCAAATCAACACATGTCAAAAAACACATGTTAACTACCAGGAAACCCGAAACCTTGCAGGCGTTTGCAGGGCCGTCTAGTCCAAACTAACAGAAAAATAGTTATATTTCCTAAATAACCGAAAAGTTGTGGCACAAAATAACAGATAATAATGATGAAATAAATTAATAATGGTACAAAATTACAGAAAAACTAAAGAAAATAAACACACACATATATATATATCAGATGAATTAAATCAAATTTCAAACAATATATATAAACAAACACGCATATAAATACACAAACATATGCGTATTTAGACATAAATATACACACATACATACACATACTTGAAGATAGTTAAACATTCTTATGAAAACCACTGAAAAAATTAGACAACAACAAATCGTGAACAAGAGATATAAACATACCAATAGTGACATAATTCTTTACACAAATAGACAGTAAGTCTTAGAGACGAATAGAAACCAGAAAGACAGAGTGAAAAAAGTTCGTGCGAGGTGTACTTAAGCAGAAACCAGAAGCTTTTCTTAGCACGGTAGTATGTTTATCCAACAAGCAACGAATTTGAAGAAAAAGAGTAGGACAGTAACCAAGTTTAAACAATTTATAAATAATTAATAATGAGAATAAAATATGAAATTAGAATAAGATTTCTGTTCATCCTAGTTTACTCGATAAAAATTAAACATTCGAACCCGATCACCGCATGGTGATTACACACTACAGCCTAATGTAAAATATATAATTGATATACCCTTAGGGTATTATGGATACAATAATAATGACTAAAATGATGGAACTTATGATAAGCGGACAAACACAATGCAAGCATGCAACCACTTCACGTATGTGTGCGCAATTCAAATAAGTATTGTTACATGTACGCACGCTAAGATTATGTCTAACACACAATCGACTTTTCAACGAAGCGCAATTTTCACCATCCAAACAATAAAGCATACGCACCCATAAACGAAAACACGTCCAAACAAATACTTCAGACGTGCTCAAAGCAATTAAATAGCCGCACAAATCATTTCTGGCATGCAATTAACTATGCAGGCACACACGCGCAAAACAATTGAATAGACGCGCATGTACAATGCACTATAGATGTTTCGATGTAATAACAGCCTCTAGATACAAAAATGCTAACACACGTACATCATAACTTGAGCATAGTAGGCCTAGGCATTAAGCTATCACTTCGTCAAATGTTTAAACTATTTTTGCTTATTTGTGTTGCCCGATGTTTTATACTGTTGAAATTTGATCATCGCTCATTTACTGAAAACTTTTATATCGTTAATCGCTAATTTTCCTCTTTTTAAAAATTTTACATTGTATTTAATTTTTTAAAAATGATATATAAAATGGTGGTGCTCAGCTTATGGATGTAAAAGTGGATACAAATCAAATGCAGCAAATGACTAAAAAAACGGCATATCGTTTCACGCCTATATTAAAAAATCCGGATTTGTGTGCTAGATGGGTACGTGCTAATCCTCGTAAAGATTATGTTCCAAACAAACATTCAAAAAATTTTTCACTCGACTTTGACAGATTTCATAACATCTTTTAGTGATTGATATAAAAGAAAATTTAACAGAACTGTGGGGATTGCCAGTACTGTTGTGGAGAGGCAAGGAAAAAAAATTAAAAGAAAATTAAGTACCATCTAAATTTCAAAGTGCACCTTCATATTTGTCCGCTCCAACGCAACAACCTCGATCAACAACAAAATCTTCATTAGCTACTCGTCGCGTGTTAGATATTGAAAGGGCAGAAAAAGAAGCTGAAGAGTTCCTAGAAATTGATTTTCTACATAATTGTGGATTGAATTATTTAACTAAAACTACGCTTATCTGAAGAATGCACATCCCCTCAGAATTTGAATTTGAATTGATAAACAAT